CAAAAAAGTATAAATTTTAGCCTTTATTTATACTCTGATAAATCTTGAAACAATTATCCATAATCAGCAAAAAAAAAAAAGAAGGAAAACAGAAAATACGCTGAAAATTGATGCTGACTGATTAAACGTTATTGGCAATTGTTCTTTTTGTTCTCCCCAGAGCTGTTTCAATTGACACTGACTGTCTTTCATTAAAATACTATTCAAATATAAGTGACAGAAAGAATGCTTTTGTTTTTCTTTTTTTTTAACCATTTGCCTTAAAAGATATTTAAATGACTTTTGAAGAAACGGTGAAATAAAAAGCAAATGACAACTGGTCAAAGCGGTTTTTTTTGTAACCGTCTGTAGGTTTGAAATTACTGAAGGATACTGCCCCTATCAGTACAGTATTTCAAATAAGTTTCAGTATCGAGATGCTAAAAGTGTATTCTTTTTTTACCGTTAAATAATAAACATTTACAGCTTCGAAAAAAAAAAAAAAAAACAAGCAGCTGTAAACAAATGTTTTTTTAACAACTAAACTTGTTCCACCTCCTCCTACAGCTATCCTTCGCCGTCCACATCTGAGATGCAAATGTGATTTGCTCTGTTAAAGAAGTTAGATAAAAACAAAACAAAAAATTGAATAAAAAAAAATTTGCTTTCAGGGATACTGTAACGAATTCAAAAGTAAATTGGAAGAATTTGTTTCTTCCATGCGAGGAATATGCCCCGGACGTGGCCCACAATTAATGTTCTGCAACAGTGTCAAACGGATGCTCCATGTACAGATGATGCTTTTTGATCTTTGTATTTACTGCTTTTTCCTAACAATATCTGCAGATTTTAAAGCATTTTAAACAACAACCTATTTTGCCAAAATTGACACACAAATATAGACTAATTTATGTTCAAAACAACTACTGATCCACATAACTGACTAAAATATACAGATAGAAACACTCATTGGTCAATTTAGTTGACTCCATCATTCCTCTCTTCACTTTCTTCCTTTCGTTTCTTTCTTTTTTTCCTTTTTTCCAGGGAATGTACACGCAAGATGATGAATGTGACTTTGATTGTGGTGAAGTTGTAAAACAGGCTAATGATGGCTTCGATGATATTGATTCATATGTAACGCCAACAATTGACTTTCAATCCGAAGGTATCGATTCACGTGCAGACAGTCATGTTGCCGCCGAACCTGGATCTGCAAATTTAAGCTGGAATTTATTTGAGTTTGCACTAATTTTTTTGATTTGTTCACTAGTATTCAGTTGAATAATTTGAAGACAAAAGCAGTAACACTAACATCAGTAGCAAAAACCAGAACAAAAATAAGAACCAGAATAAGACTACGCAGAAAGATAACTGGAGAAAAGCCAAATACTCCAATTTCTTCTATTTACTTACTAAAACCAAACGCCTTTCTTTAAGTTATATTTTAGTTAGTACAAAACAAAGCAATGCGTCTTAGATGCGTTGCAAAAAATATAGAATTAAAACTAAAGTTTTTTTCTCAATTTTTTTTCCCCTTTTTTTCTTCTGTTTTATACCTTTACTTTTGCTATAAATTAATCCTAAAGCATTTCTTTTTTCTCTCACTCTTCAAGCATTTGAAAAAGTTTTATTGTTTTTTGTAAAAAAAAACTGATTACACAACAGTTTTACCATAGATAAGATAATATAATTTTTCTTATTTTTTCTCCCTTTCTCTACGGCTAACATCCCTTCGGTCAACCGCTCAAAACCATGAATATTCGTTAGCAGACCAGAAAAGATAGAACAAAGAAATTTCTCACAATTAACATTCAATTTATCAGTCTCTTCTTCACCGCCAAAAAAAACCAAAAAAAAGAGCAAAAAAAAAAAAAAAAA